ATTTGTATACCTAATTAAGATACCAATGAGTAATTTGGAAATAGTACAGCGCAATGATGAATTCAACAAGCGTTAAATGCTTCTTATCTGTTCTCAGCAATTACCAGCTACGTAGAACCAAATTGCTTCCGTTTAAGTAGGTTTGAGGTTTTACAAATCGTAGCAACAGAATAGTAAACTTTAATTTATAATAACATATGATTTTCTTCTAAAGTGGTAGATTTTATATTTTCTTTTCTTATTTTATTAATTTAAATATATTTTTCAACCTTTCATGGTTTTGGAACTACGTATGTAGGGAAAAAAAACTAGAATATAATTATTCTATTCTAGTTAGGCTATAAGTAAAGAGTAATTTAGGTTCTAGTTAGGTTATAAGTAAAGAGTTATCATTTATTAACTATTGGCATAATTTGCTTGAGACAAGTTTCGACTTGCCCGTCGAAGTGAATAAGGAGATTTAAAATTCATGTCATGAAAAATTTGAGTTTAGTTTATTATGATTCACATAAACCAAATTACAAATATATTAATAAATATTTTTATGTGGGTTTATGCAAACCGAAATAAATTAAATTCAACTTTTGAATACTTTGTTTGAACTTTTGACATTTGCAATTACTTATATAATTCTTTTATCGATTATTGTTTATTCTGGCCATCATTCAAAATTTGACACTACAGAATGAAATTGTTTTATTTCAAGATTTCCTGGGGATGTTTCATCCTATTTATGGTATTAACAATCCTAATTTAAGAGACATTCACACCTTACTTGATGCTTTTTTTTTCCTTTATTTTAGTGTTAGCAAAAACTTCGCATTGGATTATTTTCCTTACAGCAATTAGGCGTAACCTTAAAAATTAAATAAATAAATAAAAGGACGTTGAATAAATAATAGGTTGGAATTAGGTATCATCTCACCTACAACATGGCTTAGTGATGCTTGGCGAAACTATCTTCCAATTAGGCGCGAAAATCAAGCAGCGGAAACTCATTGATTATTTACTTTCCCACAAAGTGTCTGATAGAATGTTATGGGAAATAACCGCCAATAATGGCCACATACTACATGTGAACAACAGGATATCCGGCTAATATTTGTTGCATATTATATTGAATTAACTAGATGGATCTCTAATTTATTGTAAAGTTGTTTTCGAAAACTAGATTGACGAAATAAAGAAGGAAAATGTTATATTATTTTGGATGTTCCACAGTTTTCATTTATCATAAAATTCATGAGTATATATATTTTTATAAAAGTCCGAAATTATTAATCTAAATTACTCTAAAAGTCTAAAATTATATGCTTTGAAACTATCATCGTTTTTTTAGAAAAAACTATTCTTTAACGATGTTTTTCAAAGCTCTGTCACCAAAAAAAAAAAAAAAATCAAAGAGCCATTATTTAAATGCTTTACACTTGAAGCAATGCGATGATTTTAAACTATGTATAAATATGCGTAAAGAATTATCTGAGATTTAGAACAGATAAATTACTTAAATATTTAAAAAACTATTAAACTTTTTTTTAAAAATTGCCAACTTGGCGACATTTTTCCCCCTAGATGAAAATTATCAAAATCACTGTCGAATTTGCACTGTTTGTTACTTTTTATGAGAACTGGAAGTGCAGTATTGGAGTAAGTTTTTAAATATTAAAAAATTCTACCACAAATACTGTGTCTTTTCTCCATATCGACGTTTTGCGCCATTTTGAAAATAAACGTGGACAGCGCTAGCTTTAGATAAGCTAAACTTGACCTGCAGTAATGAGAGTGGGGCTGCAGGTCTGTAGCGGCGCGAATTCCTGCGAAATCGTCCTCTTTTTTTTTCTAAAATCCGCGAATTTCTCAGTATGTTTTGATTTTTAAAAAATTGCTTTAAATTAGAATTTTTGTTTTCATTTTTTAATTTATTATTTTAATTTAACAGAATTTTTTACTTTCCTTAAGCTTCAAATATAACATGTAAAATTGATCAGACATTATGGGGAGGGAATCAATTGCAAAGGAGTGAGAATCAATAAAAAAATGACAAGAAAAGAGTTCTGAGATAGGAGATAATCCCAATCTTGTCAAGTAAGGTGGTCTTTCTACACTTAGGGAGGATGATTGACTGATTAGAATTACCTTCCTGAAATCAGTAAGAATACAAAAGAAGTAGGAATCACAAAAGAAAACAGAAATGTTATAAATCAAATCATTGACAGAAAAATTGTTATACAGGCTATTGCACAGGACTATGAAATCTCTACTGCCTTTGTACGTATCCAGACAAATTTTCCTGGGCTGCTTCTTGTGATTTATTTTGGAGGGGCCTAAAGCATTTTTAATAACACGTTGAAGGCCACGCTAATTTTACATGGCATGCCCGTCTGGCCAAATGTTAAATAACTACAAACTAAATCTGCAAATATTAGATTTTGCTACATTTTTAAAAGGTTTAGCATGACATATCTGTTCTTTCGTTGTAGAGGAACTGGGTGTCTGAGACCTTACGGCCCTTTTCCCATTTATCCTGAATTTAGACTAAGAAACATATATATAAAAAAAAAGTTTGGGGCGTAAAATGGAGTTTGTGAGGGGAAAAAATATTAGGTAATAACAAAGTTACAACACTTAAGTAATAGGGATTAAGCAATAGGGATTAAGTAATAGGGACCCCTGATCTGACCCCGAGGTCTAGCATAACTTATCTATAAAAAGTGGTAAAATTATATAAGCCTACGAATTAATTTAAAGCCGATTGAATTTATAAAACACGTATTTTCGATAAAAAGTTAAAAAGTTTGCAAAAAAAAAAAAAATACTTTACAATAATCTATTAACTTTGCAATTAGTAGGATAATATTAACATCTGAGAAAGACCTTTAGTAGTTCCTTAAAGTTATTGCTGTTCTATAATTAAAGCTATAATATCGTTTATTTAGAAAAAAGAAGAAGAAAAAGCGAATACATTAAAGAAATTAGAATTTCGTAATAGAGGAAGGCGAACCAATAAAATCTTGGCATAAATCAAAACTATTATCTCATTAAATATAAAAATTAATTGGTTTCAGACGATTTTATGAAGCAGACGATAATTATACAAACATTGACGATATGCAGAAGCACATGCCAGATGGGTTGATGAAACAAGCCATAAATTTTAATGTCTTCCTCTATCTTCAATCATGAAAAAAAATAAAAAGCAATGTAACATCAATATTTAATTTGTTTTTACGGTTATTATTGGCTGAATCAAAATGCTTAGAATTCTTGAGGTGTCTTAAATATTTATTCTTAATATAAGTAAAAGAAACAACGTCTAAATTTTTAAAAAAAAATTTTGAATTTTAAAATCGAAATTACATAGAAGAAGATTAAATTTTGTTCAATGATTCCAATCGTTTCCAACAATAGAGGTTCCCTGGAACACAAAGGGTTCCGGGAAAGGATTATGGGGTTCCGAGAGAAAGGACTTTTTTTTAAACCAGTAATGAATCATGAAGCCTAAGTTTATATTTATATCCGATAAATAAACCCTAATTTCTTTAATATTTCGGTTAATTATCTAATATTATTTAAGTAAAATGTCAGTAAAAAAACAACAAAATTTAAAAACAAAACTTTTTGATAATGAAAAATATTGAATAAATTATGAAAAGGATATGAATTTATAAAAAAATTCATCAATATTTCTCATCGCAATTTTCAATTCTATATAAAATAACTACTTATTTAACTACTAAAATAACTACTTATATATAAACTTGTATATAAAATAACTACTAAAATAGCTACTTATTATAATTACTTTGATTAAGCTTATTTTATTCATTTTCAGCTTTTGCATTCATCAAGAACAAATTCACATGCCGTTGCAGATATGTAAATTCATCTGTTGTAAAACCTAATTTTAAAACTATTATTGATGAAGAGAACTCTTGAATACAATTGCACGTTCATAAAACTATTGAGTCATCCTCTTCGAAAACCTGTAAAAAAAATTTTAAAAAAATTATAATATTACGCAATAGTCTTACAAAGTAGGGGCTTGTAATCTACTTATTTTTGCTGACAAGGAAAAGTAATAAAGAAAAACACCAAACTTTTAATAAATTGGAAACATACATTTTAGAGAGAAATTACATTTTGAAAAAAATAAAAAATACTAATTTAATGAAAATATAATAGAAGGTTATTTATTGTTTGTTTACTTTTGCTAACAAGAGAAAATAGTAAATACAAAATCATCAAAAATGCTCACGTAATATCTACATAATTCCTAGCAAATTTTTGAAATTGAATCAGTACAAATCAATAACTGCTGCATTTTTGCTTCTCAACTTCGATATAAATATACTCTTATCTCAATTTCTCTCAGTTTCATACAAGGTTCACGAGGTTCTTAAAATTCTGGAAAAAAAGTAGCAGAAGTAATGAAAAAGAGATGCATTTTTATCGGTTCACTCTCATCACTATATTTAGTATTTTCAAATAAAGATAACTAACTGTGAATTCAGATGGTTTAATTTTAAAGAGAAAGCTAATAAAAATAAAATGTAACTTTTTTTATCACAGTATTGACGCCATTTTATGAATTTTCGAATACCATATAATCCCGGTTACTATTTAATTATCTTAAAAATAAATCTCTGTTAACGCGCATTGTGGTATGGTGTTTTCATCCATTCCACTTGTTTCCTACACTTCGCCTAAAAAAACAAATTTTACATCTCAGCCACTCTTTTATGGAACTAATCAATGATTTTGAGATATTTTTATCCCTGTTAATATTTAATTATCTTATAGATAAAAGATCCTAGTTACCACGTGCTTTGGTATGTTTATCCCCTTTCTCCCGTGCCCTACACTTCCCCTAAAAAATTATTTTTACATATAAGCCACTCATTTATTGAAATAACCGATGGAATTGAAAAAATATTTTTTTAAACTTGTTTTCATTAATACTAGTTACATTTAATAAAATCTGTTTTTCGTTCTTTTTAAAGGTACAGCTGCGAGCGTTGGTGGCATGATGATGCTGATGTTCAAAAGTTTAAGAATAGTCAGGGGAAAACAGGGACTTACCTCTTACGACTAACAGACTGGTGTAAGTAGTTTTCTATCTTATATTTTATGTCACTAAAATATCTTCTCACAAAAATTCAGAGCACTACACTTCTAAAACTCGTCAAAATGGCCGAGAATGTAATAAGCGAGACAACAACCTCTATGTTATCCCGCCAGATGTCGCTCGTCTGAACGAAAGGCATAGAACTTTCTTGATGTAAATGAAGAGAGTCAGTTGGAATTGTCTGTCGGAGTAGTTTCTAAGTGAAACTGATAATCNTTTAATGTTTTTTAGGTACTTTATCTTTTTGCATCGGTGGCCTACAGTGTGACTGCTGTCAAAGTAATAACAAGTTGTATAAATATATATATATATATATATGGCCCAGCTTCCCTGTTCCAGAGCTCTACCATGACTATGCATTTAATTTCAATAATTAACAGAAAAAGTTGCTAATTTTAATAAAAGTTTGAATTTTATTAGTCATCTCTTTTTTCATTCGCTCGTGGCAACGCTGAAGACTCTTCAGTTTCAAGACTATGAATTCAGCAGTCGGACATGAAAACTAATTTAAGATTATTAATGATAAAACGATAAAAAAAATTAATTTTCATTTTTTAATATTTACTTATTAAATCACTTATATATATATTAAAATATTAAATTAAAGATATCGAAATAGTATAATAGAAGACGTGTTTTTGTTCTATTAACAAATACTTTGTTTTACCGCATTTAAATTAACTTTTTTCAATAGTTGAAACAACTTTATACTAACAATTCAAGCGAATAGATTTTAATTTAAATTATGTAAGATTTCATTGAAATCTTTTGGCTTGAATTATTAAGATTCGAGTTCAGGGTTACTTTTATGTTTCGTTTGATACGAGATATTTGACTCATTTCATAACCGCATTTACTGAGATCGAAAGTGAAATGCGATGCGTCAGGTAAAATTGTCTACTGGCACTACAAGAATCTGTGCCCATTTCAAAGATACAATTACTAGCGTCGGATGTGGAATTCCTAAAGGCCATTTTACGAAATGAGGTTCAGGTATACCTACCGTCATTTCGTAGAAATCGTCTGACACATTCATTTGGAACGAATTGACCTCAGGAAACAGAATCTCGTTTTGAGTTTTTATGTTGCCAATTTTTTATGCAGTAATTGAAGATCAATTTAATTCTTTGGAAATAAAAGCTAACACTCGTGGGAGAATAAAAGACAATAAAGTGTTTATCGTTTATTTTATGTTCTTTTTTTATTTTAATTTGTAGAGATTTCTTTAAATTGATATATTGTCCAGTGTAGTTCAAACATTTAAGCAAGTTGAAAGAATAAACTGAAAGTAAAATATTTTAAATCTATTTTATATCTTTATCAAAAACTATTATTTGAAACCAAACATAAATTAAAACGATAATTAATTCCGAAATAAATCAAAACTTTATCGTTTGCATTTTCATCCCGTTGCCAGATTTTGTTTTCATAGATCCATTTCTCACGACCTTAATCATATTTTTCTCTGAATAAATCTAAAGAGGTAGGATTTTCATTTCTCATTTGAGTTAGTTGATAAAATAAAATTAATCTGGCGTTTACTCTGAATTAAATCATAGTCTAAATTAGTCGTTTGAAATTTGAAAACAGAAATGATTACGATTATGTGATGGATGGAATCCAGTTTCTTTCTCACTCGGAAAACGGTCATTCTTTGCAGATATTTCCTTCATGGTATTGCCAGCGTACGGTTATGCGTTAAATTGCTTTTTCAAGTATTTTAACAAATTCGCGATTGCAAGGATTGGTTTTAATGATAAAAATGTGAAAAATTCTATCAACACGTCGAACCAAGCAGGTAAACCTAAATAATTGTATTAATTTTGTAGTAAAATTTACTCAGTAGTTTTTTTGTTTTTTTTGTTTTGTTTTTTTAACAAAAATGTAGGGTGATTTCATTATTCACGAATGCCATATTTGAAGATTTTAACCCATTGTTCTCCGCAGTTGCCCATGAGGCGCTATCTACTGCCATTGTTCTAAAAATAAAAAAAATTCATAACTTGCTTAAGCACGTTATTTTAAGAATTTTAAAAATTATATAAAAATATTGTATTACATATTTTAAATGATATGCTTCTCATATTAATTCAAACTGCATCTTGAAGTAATCGAAATTCAAAGAGTTAAAAGTTTATAACTTAAACTCAGTTAAAAGAATTTGTACGATTCTAATAATTTTTGTATAAATAAGTGTTGGTGTCCTTTACACTCACTCAAATATTTGGAAACTTTTCGAAACTTTTAAAAAAAAAATCTTGAAAATTAAAAACCAGCTTTTACGGACGTAACATATTATCTACAGTACTACATCATAACCAGTTTTTAAATTCTTTTTTTTTTTTTAAATTATCTGATGGAAGTTACTAAATTTTGGAGTTGGTGATATCAAGATTTGTTTTCATAAAAATTATTTTAACTACTCGATTTTAATTGAGTTATGTATTTTTCAAGTTTGCAAAAAAAAAAAAAAAATCCAAATGGTAAATTTAACAAATAGCAATGAACCTTTAAAATAGTTTTTATTTTAATTTTAAATAGATTATTAATTTTTAAAAAAATGAAAAATGCATTAAAAAAAATTGTACGAATTTTAAGAAAAATAATAAAAATAAATCAAGATTTATAAAAAAAAAATTCATGCCTTTTAGATTTATTTATTAACTCTTTAACTTACTAAAAACTAAATATTCTGTATTACAAGATTATTTTAAGCATTTGACTCTAAAAATATGTTTTTAATATGTACTAAACACTAATAATGTACTAAAAACGAAGCATTTGTATACAGTGTAAAGGTGACGTCATTCTTCGCTGTAAATTTTTCTTTCTTACTTTTAATTATTCTCTACTTTTAGAAATGCTCATGTCTCATAATAACACAATGCATACGAACTACTTTGTAAAATCTAATTAACTAAATGAAATTTTGATTAAAATCTTAAGAAGAGTAAGTAGGAGATCTTAATCTTAAGAGAAGATCAAAATCTTAATCTTGCAAGATTTTATAAAAGCTGGTGCAAGCTATAACTTCAAATTGGAAAATTTTTACGAAGAGGAAATGCAGGTCTGTTTACTTTCAATGCTTTCAAGGAAAATTTCTTCTAGTGGTAGCTAAATTTATATTTAAATGTATGATTTTGATTTAAAGTTATTTTTCCACTCCACTATATGTGAATGATTCAAAATTTTATGTAAAACGTCACATGGTCTCGTATCTCTGGGGGCCTCCCTAACAGAGCGGTATCACCTGCCGAACGCAGTGCTAAGCGTGGAGGTAGCGGGTTCGGCTCCCACAGTTAGCCTGGACGTATCTTCCTGCTGCCCTTTCTCTGTATTGTGCTATCTGTCCTTCTATTTGACAACGGCTCATAAGCCTAAATTGAGCACACAAGCCTGCAAATATATGTAATTCCAATAAGCAATAAATAAACCCAGATCGTTCGTAGGAAAGGCTTTTGAAAGGTTGATAGAATTGCCTAATATTCTGAAAGCTTTTGTTTTTAACTGCATACCTCTCAATAAATTATTTTTCAAAAAGCTTAAGAGTTATCAGCCCTGTTAATGAATCACTTACAGTTATTGCAATAGCGAATGAGTTGTTTCTTTTAAAAACTAAGTTGAAACAAAATAGTTTTGATATCACTTTAAAAATAAACGTACTAAAAAACGTACTAAAACGTACTAAACGTACTAAAAGAGAAAAGATTAAAAAAAAAGGAATCACACGCTCTAAACGATGTTTCAGGCGCGAATGCTCATTTCTCTTAACTCTAGGGCTAATACAATAGATCGAACAAAGAAGTCTCCTTTTCTCCCACCGAAACCAGTCTTAAAGAGGGACCCCGCACCCCTACTTGAAATAATCATACCTCGTTACCATAGTCCCCGCCACCCCTCCAGACGAATGGCGGACAGAGTACCTATCGTAGACAAACAGAAGAAATTTTCTAAAACATGTTTCTGCCTGTCTCACATGCAAAGTGTTAAACACGGTAATATTATTAATATTTTTTTGTTCGTAATGTAATTCAGATTCAACCGTTTTTGTCTTAAAATACTTAATAAATTAAGTCATAAAATAAAACTCTTTCAACCTTTATCGAATGAAACATCCGTTACATGAAATATTGTCAGATGTTTACTAGCAAAGCTTGTCAACTTAGATGATAGCCGATGAACTTTTTATTAGTGGTTGTAACATTTTTTTGAAATATAAATCTTGGTTTATAAAGTTTTTTGAAAAGAACAGATTTACCTTTCCTGACTAATCACTAATTCAAACATATTTATATAAAATATACAAATTAGGCAGTTAAAATTTAAATTGTTGGCGAATTAGCTTAATTTTAAAAAAAATTCTTCAAATTTGTATTATTATTTTACCATACCACTACGTAAAATCTTCTCAAAAAATCCATACAAGTAGGTATCAAAGTTATTTAATATTTCCTATACCATATCATAGTTCGCCCATACTGATGAAGCAAAATCTTGTGAAATACGCGACAATGATTTAATACAATATTACATTTTATTGAATCTCATGTACGTATAGTACCTTAAAGTGGTATTAAATAATACATATATGTAATACAGAGTGTATAATAAGGAGTCTTTTTACATCAATTCATAACTTAAAATAGATACTCTTATTAATTTTAAGACGTATGAAATCGTTCTTTCACACAAAGAACCATAATAATTCAATTTTCAGGTTAAAAGATTTATTTCTGAAGTTAATGGGTAGTAATTCATAGAAATATTATTTTTTTGAAGATCCCAGAAATTCCATGGAATCTGTATAGCGTCGTCTTTTAAAGCGAATCGAGATGGTTAAATTTTGATGGCTTTCAATTACGTTTAAAGGGGGGGGGAAACTTGCAACTAATTCCCCTTTTAGAATCCCTAAATATGAGGCGAAACACCTCAAGTTTGTGTCACTTTTCATGATGTAACTTCTTGAAGAATTGTTG